TGTAATTACATGTTGTTTTTGTGATTAATTACTATGCTTTAATTATGTTCAATTTGTAACAATGAAATTGGGGGTCACCACAACATGAGGAACTGTATTAAAGGGTCGCAGCATTAGGAAGGTTGAGAACCACTGTTCTAGAGGGTCAAAGTGGAATATATACATTACAATAAATGAGGGCTGTGAAGGAAGAAGTATGAGTAATGAGAAAAGCAATTCTCCTTGGAGACGAATTTCCTTGCTTCAATGCAGCATGTGATTCTGGCAATTTCAGTCATTCTCTTTCAGGTGCTTTTCGGTGCTAGTTCCAAATGCTGCTTGAGGGACCACTGTCTCGGCCCACCTGAGGGAGTGGGGTGAACTCAAGATGTATGAGGAGCTATCACATTCTCTATGGCAAACATTCTGTTCAGCAGGACAGCCCTGGGAGAAAGACAAGTTACTCTTGGGAAGCAAGAGGTGAGAGAAACGAGGCAGCAACTGAATAGCGTTGCTTATGTTAAGTACATAACATTAAAAAACAAAAAAACGAATGCAATTGACTCAACAGTATCTCAGCATTAATTTTAGAAAGTCACTTGGTTTTAGCACTTTTCCCCAATGGAAAAGGCTTTAAGACACACAGGGTGATTGCTGTTCCCCATATTTTTTTAAACAACCAACAACCAATATATGTATAGATTAACTGAAAAAAAACCAAAAAACTAGTTTCTGTTTTTTTTCTGCAATGAGCTAGGAAGTGCAGCATAAAGGAGGAATGGGTTGAAAACTACCAAAGAATTTGTATAAGGATAACAAAACTCATGAATTTCCTGGACCAAACCCCATCGGCCCAAGTAGGAGACATAATGGTTGGGGCTTTGGGGAGGCAATCGATGGCTCACCTAATTTGGTAGGTGTCAGCTGATAGAAATGCATGTATCCTGGAGCCCAGGCTCTACTTAGTGCCTGTCTGTTGGAGAAAATCAAAGATAAAGACGCAAATCACTGGGAGGCCAAGCGCACAGCTAATTGGACTCTATCTGTAACTATGTGAAGTCCATCTGCTCCTACTTAAAGTATTGACCTTTTTTCTCCTTATGTAATACTAGAGGCCCGGTGCACAAAAATTTGTGCACTGGGGGGGGGAGGGGCCTCAGCCCGGCCTATGCCCTCTTGCAGTCTGGGGCCCCTTGGAGGATGTCCACCTGCTGGCTTAGGCCGGCTCCCTGGGCCCGGCAGCCCTCGGGGGATGTCCACTTGCCAGCGGGGAGCAGACCTAAGCTGCAGTCGGACATCCTTAGTGCTGCTGAGGAGGTGGGAGTGACTCCCGCCACCACCGCTGTGCTGGCAGCCATCAGCCTGGCTTGTGGCTGAGCAGAGCTCCCCCTGTGGGAGCGCACAGACCACCAGGGGACAGCTCCTGCATTGAGCATCTGCCCCCTGATGGTCAGTGTGTGTCATAGTGACCAGTCATTCCCAGTCGTTCTGCTGTTAGGGTCAATTTGCATATTACCCTTTTATTATATAGGATAAAGGGGAGCAGGAGTTGTCACCCTAAAATATGCCTCTTTGGCATAAGGATTATTTTAGGCTGATTATTTTTAAACAATAGCAAATAGGAAAAGCTCTGACAACAGACTAGAAGTTACCTTTTTTAGAGAGACATTTGCATAAGGGAAATGTAATGGTGCATCAAGAAGAGAAGAATGACTCTAAATCTCTAAAAACTTATCAGTGGAGGAGGCAAGAACTTAAATCTGCATAACAACCTTACCCTTGTTTACTGTGCTTTTCCTGATCACCTCCCTCAACTGGCTCCCCACCCCACCCAAGCATCTTTTGTCCTTAGCTGACGATGGCATCTAAGGTGATGGCTTTGGCCATTTTGGGGAGTTACCCAGTTTTCCTGGGGTCTTTCCCATGTATAAGGAGGTACTGGTATATACATGATTAAACTTTTGTTGGTTTCCTACTGTTGGTCTCTCTCTCTCTCTCTCTCTCTCTCTCTCGTTAATCCTAACCACTGGTCCACGGGCCAATGCTCTAACCACTGAGCACCAGCCCGGGCTATCTCTCTTTTTATTACAGACGTCTTAGCCAAGAACTTAGAAGGATAGAGGAAAAAAATACTTTTCCTCCCCTCAAGTGTTAATGTGTGTGTATTCATTCACCTGCCTCTAGCAGCTCCTTATGAAAGGTTAAGTGGTTGTGAAACCACATGCTTTGGAGAATCCAAGCAGCTGTTTAAACTCCTGAACAAGTAGTGGTGCCTTGTGGCTTGCCTCTGATGAGTTGCAGAGGCAGCTGAGGGTGGGCTGTCTTTGACCATCTGCAGGTTTTAATATGCTCCGCCGATCTCATGCCAACCCGGCTTGCCAGAGTTGAGGTCACTGTACTCTGAGACATTTCGGGATGGTGCTCAAGAGAGCTGTGCTCTGCAGCCTCCTGGGCCCTCCTGCAGGTGCACTTGCTTTTTCAGTTTCATGCTGTTTTTCTTACCCTTTATAGCAGTGGTTCTCAACCTTGGCTGCACATCAGAATCACCTGGGAATCTTGTTAAAATCCTGATTTCTGGGCCTCATCATTAGTAACAAAGAAACAGAATTTCCGGAGGATGGGGCCCAGAAATCAGGATTTTAAAAAGATTCCCAGATGATTCTAATGTGCAGCCAAGGTGGAGAACCACTGCAGTCTATAGACACTCGCAGCAGCACTATTATTATTTGCTTGTTACTGCGTGTTGCTGATTCATGCTCAGAGGAAAAAGACATTTTGTCTTTCACACCCTCTCCTGTCACTTAAGGCATATGTTAACGAAGGACAGATTTTGGCATCCATTCTTCCCTGTAGCTTTGAGGCCACAATATCGATTCATTATAAATGAAGATGAAACTGTTACTTTACTTCTATTCATATTTATAACTACACCAAAGCTATCCTGCTGGTACCTTTGTGCCTCTCAAATCTCAAACCATATTCCAAGAAATGCTCAATATTTTATGCTTGAATTGGCATTAATGTACAGACAATGTTTTAAATAAAGATGTTTTCACTCATATTTTATACTGACACTCCATGAATTCACATAGATTAGATTATGCTAGAGCCGAATCTCTTTGAAGGCTTCCCCTCCCCTGGCTGTACAGACTAATTTTTCTCTTTAAGTGAGGAGGATGCAAGTACTGGGTGCTCTGCTTACCCAGAGGGAAGCCAAGTAGAAGGCTGAAGGCTAAAGTGGGTGGGGCAAGAGAATTAAATATACAGAATGCGTAAAAGAACTAATAGAAGGCTTTTGCTTCGTCATTCCTCCTGGTTCCTTTTGTTCCCTTCCTTCCCAGTTTGTTACTGTGGACAAGTGCAACCTACTTATTTCATAGACTCACTGGAGCTAGAATGAGCTATAGTAACCTTGAAGGTCATCTGATCCAAACTCCCCTCCATTGTTAAAATTCCCCGTTTTATTCAGAAACTCGCTTTCTTCTCCAGCAGCTTTCTGAGCAGCATTCGAGCCTTTCAATTAAAAGTGCACTGATGAGAGCAGAGGTTTGGAATCAAACAGTTCTGGGTACAAACTGTGGCTATCACTGACATCTCAGAGTCCTGTCTCATCGGTTAAATAGTTACAATGAAGCTAATTCGTCGGAGCTTGAGGGTTAAATGAAGTAAATAAAAGTGTAGTATATAAAAAACAAAACAGTACAGAGATAAGTTAAGGGTAGCTGAGCAGTTCAATAGAAACTAGGACCCACACTTCCTGTCTGACGCGAGGCTATACTTTTCCACAGCATTCTCACAAGGTCTCATAAAACCATTGAAAAAGTTTCTGATGCTGGAGTGCTCAGTGTGCTACCTGGTAGACTGTAAATGCTTTTATTAATAACAATACCTCACATATATTCGGGGTTTTAGAATTTACAATGCGCTTTCACAAGTGGGGGGAAATAGCCACGCCAACATGTCTACTGATGACTAAAAGGCAGGAAACGGAGGAGCAGAAGTTCTGAAAGGTCTATTAGCGATGCAAATGTGAAGTCACCTGCACTGGTGAGGAGCTTAATAAACATTAAAACCAACTAGAAGTTACAATGCGAGACACATTCAGGCTTCAGATCTTGGCCTTGACGAGTCCGAAAATCATAAGAACACAGCATAGGGGCTTGGGGGCAAGAATTTAAGCGACCTGAAGCTTAACAGTCTAAATCAGTGGTTCTCAACCTCCTGGCCCTTTAAATACAGTTCCTCATGTTGTGACCCAACCATAAAATTATTTTCGTTGCTAGTTCATAACTGTAATGTTGCTACTGTTATGAATCGTAATGTAAATATCTGATATGCAGGATGGTCTTAGGTGACCCCTGTGAAAGGGTCATTCAACTGCCAAAGGGATCGCGACCCACAGGTTGAGAACTGCTGGTCTAAATGGTTCAGATGTCCAGGAGGGCAGCTCTCTGCATATGGATGAATTTTCACATAGAAACCAGAGTACAGCAAAAATTCAGAGTGCATAATGGTAGAACCCTCAGTGCGTTCATAGTTTAGAGACAAAGCATATGGAACTGAGACAAACAGCAAATAAGCTCTCAGAAGTCAACATTAACTGGGTGTTTCAATCTGACAAATGTGTCGTACTGCATGAAAAACTTTTAAAAATAGAAACTGTTACCTTGGCTTTTCGCACAACCCTCTCAAACAGTTCTTCACGTGTGTGACAATTTTTACATTTGGAAAATGCTCAAAAGTGAATTTTTAGAAATGGAAAAAAATGGAAGGTGCATTTCCAATATAGCACATTTCATTGTTTCTGTAGCCTAAGATGAAAGAACATATCTTTTTCTGTTAGAAAGAAAATGGGAAAAAAGAAAAAGAAAATGGACCTCTCAAAATCTAGCTCCTTCAGAAGATGGATTTTTAAATATCAAACTCTGTCTAAAGGGAAAAATAAAAATTTCATGCAATTAGCAAATAGCTTAAATTAATACCCAAGCAGGAGCATTTGTAACACTTCATGATTTTGTTAATACCTAAGGCAATATTCCAAATCAGGGCTTTCTCTTTTTTTCTTCTTCTGCCCAAAAATCTACATTTCTAGCAATACGCAAACCGACTTATATCCTTTTTGGGGCAAAATAGGGGGTTGATTCAGGTCAGAAGACTGACCAACAAACTTAAGACACTGGTAGAAATGGCCCTACTGAGCCATTACGTGGAATAGGAGGTCTATGCTAGACAGAGCTCAAAAGAGGACAGTTTGTGTCTCACAGTCCAAATCCGGTTGCTGTTATTTTGAAGCTTCTAAAGGTTAACTACATGCTGTAATACGCTATAGAAAGACACGAAGCTGAATTTTACTGCGCCAGTCAAGAGGCAGGCTTGAATCTGCTATTTAGGACCGAGAGAGACAGTACAATTTACATGTGTGAGAATGTGAGAATAATTTCACCTTCTGTTGTTTTTAAAACCACCTTGGGCCATGATTTTGAAATTAAGAAACAAGATCTGCTGGGGTTCCCATAGCAACATTAACTTATCTAACTTCCCTTGCTGTATGTAATACTTTCATTACTAGCTTGGCTAGTAAATGTACACTTTAATTATGAAAGACAACCAAGTTAAGAGTCTCGGGCAAATTTTAACTTTTACATTTACTGACATGCATGTTTAAACAAACCTGGATATTGTACTTCTGAAGACTTGCTACCAAGGCAAGTGTGTACAAAAACCTTTCTGTGGTCTTCCTTGCTCCTCATCTCTGTATTCCATTCTTTAGATGACCCCTCAACCAATCTCTCCAGATACATTTATAACATGCCATGACTAGGATAAAACAGAAACCAACCAACCTCAGATGGCTCCAGTCGGGGGACTAGACCCCGATGTGTCCCCCATCTAGTCTGTCTATAAGATGACCCTCTCCCTATCTTTTCTCCACTATTCATCATCATGAATGTCCTGCACCAAATACGTTTTCTCACCATCTTGAGAGCGTACATTCAAGGACCCCCTCCCAGAACCCTGACTCTTCCCCCTTCCTTCCCACAAAGATCTTTCAGAACCACTATTACTACTGTGACCATCACCATGTGACACCCTGTTTGTGACTGGGCAGCATCCCTCCCCTATTATTAAAAAAAATAATATTGTCTTGATTTTCCTTTGAGGAACTTTCCTCCATTCTATACATTCTGGTGGCACCACCAATGAAGCTGCCCTGCCCCAGCCTATTAAGAGGTAATCCATGACCTAAATTGGACCAATCACATTCTCCCAGGAAGTTGAATTTTAAGTAAATTAAAAAAGGAAAAATAGTGGGGACTGAATTATTGCGACGGTGGTCCTTTGAAGAGACTGTCCATTTCTCCCAGATTTCTGTGACTCCTCATCAATGTGCACCAGCTGTTAAGCTCCCTACTTGAGTACTTGATCATATATTATCTTTAATCTTGATCTAGAGGCTTGCAATGTGCACGTTTTGCTTTGCCAGCTAGATAATATTGATGCTCTCTGAAAACAGGGCTGGGTCTTTATTTATTGTATTATTCCAGATAATTCAGCACAATGTAAGTACTTAGTAACAAATAATTAAAAAAACAACAATCTTAGAAACTCTGTAAGTACCTAGTAACAAATGAAAGACCAATCTTAGAAATTCTATTCTATTAATGTGCAATACACAAGCTAACTTATATCCTTTTTGAGGCAAGGTGGTAAATAAATTTTTAATTGCTACAATTTAAGAATTTTCTTGGATATAAATAGTTGTCTTAAGGAGAACTTAAAATGACTTAAACACCAAATAGTCTGAAAATAATTTTAGCATGGGTCATAATTCCCCAATTTTAGAAAAGGAAAGAGAAACTGAAATTCTCTTTCAGATATCAGTCTCTGAATTAAAAAAAATATTTTTTTGGGGAAAACAGACAACAAAACAATAAAAACAACACACCTTTGTCTTGGGCTTGTGATTTTCCCTGGAAACAAGGTGAGCTGCCTGTCCGCTACCAGATAATGCAGGAGGGAGTTAAACTGTGTTTGACTAATATATAAATAGCGTAGGTGATTTTCTCCTCTTCTGAAAAATGGAAGGTCATGGCTTCTCAGAATCATGACTTATGACAGTAATTAAATTGCATGCTTACAAAATTCAAACAAGCTTGCTCATATTAAGTTTTGAAAACACAGGCTATGGTGCACTCTTCCAAACCACTTACACGTGCTTACAATACACCAAAGAGCTCGCCCACAATAAACAGCAGAATATATACATTCTCTTCTTCTGTCTTTTCATAAATATAAAATTATATAAATCTTTGAATAGTGTGGTCCTCTGGTCTGCACCTCAACATGGTACAGAGTTCAGCTATGCGAAAGGAGTGCAAGTGCTGATGTGGAGCTTTTTTGAGCCAAGTGTAATGGTTTCTGGAATTTGCCTTGAACCCATACTCGGTGCATTTTCACTTGTTTTTTCCTATTGACTTGTAAGCGGCGATCAATCAGATTTTGCTTCTCGTCCAACCCAGCCTTGCAGAACATACTGTGGACTTCCCCTGTGAGACGAAAATAGCAATCAAATGTGTGACATATGACTGGGGAGGGGGCGGGGCAGTCAGAAACATGGAACATTAAATGAAATGACTGACCATCTAAATTTCATTTTTACTAACAAATACTCAATACAAAACAATGAAGGGAACGTGAAACTAAGTGGGTTTCTTCCACTTCACCCAAACACACCAAGTATAAACAGGCTGGCACAGCAAGCAGAGATGTACATTATTGGTGACAGCTTTCAATATTTTGAAAGGTGCCCCGTTTGAGTTTTTATTGGTTTGCAGAGATCCCAAATGACACTTTATAATACTATTCAAGTAAGTTTGGGGAAAGTCCTTAAGCACAGGATTCATTTTCAATACTTTTTTAAAATGAGAAAGTGACAAGAGCTAAGTAATTTTCTAGGGACTCTTAAAATCATACTCCTGCCTCTGCTGTGGCCTACCATCAAGTTTTTTCATATCTGGACAAACAGTACCTCCGAAATGGAACAGACTATCCCTTCATTTGGGCATAAGGATGGAACAAGTGATTATTTAAAGCAGTTTCCACTGGAGAAAGATTAGAAGGCCAAAAGGCCATTTTCAAGCTGTTATGTAGAATAGTACAGTCACCAAAGTGTGAAGACATCCAATGTTTAATCAAGCATTAAAGCCTCATTTTTAGAGCTTCTGAATTTTCTCTCTGTAAACAATAACCAAAAATATTTTTTACAGCTAATTATTTCTTCTTATAGATAAGTATACCTTTTGTAAAGAAATATGCCCGGGTACCATCTCCTCGAACATAAAAATTTTCAGATAAACAGTGCCCTGAAAAAAAAAATAATTATGAGAAGAGAAGCTTAGTATTTCTTTTTTTAGAAAAAATCTTGACATGAAATATAAATGAGGCATTCTTTGAAACACATGAAAATAATCTGAGACTGAATATACTATTACCCCTTTTGAAACGAAGCTGAGTCTTATCATATCTTCCATAGTCCCGAAATAACAGCATGCCCCCAGGTTTCAGTAACTTGGACAATCGGTTTACAACACCTTGCATCCTTTGAAAACAAAGCAAGATACAGTTTGCAGAAATCTTTCATATACCAAATTTTAATTTCTTAAAGATAAAAGAAGAAAAGTTCGATAAGGCCCAAGAAACTTAAACCACAAAAATAAGGGCAACAAAGACAAAAAATATTTTGTATAGAAAGAAAAAAGGACACCAACTTGCTAAATTATCAGATTTAAAAGGCCTAGAGTATCAAGAAATCACCCAAATGACCAGAGCTTGATGGATGAAGTCAAAGCTCAACTACCAAACCACAGAGATATTTTCTGATCATTACAGCAAATTAAAGTAGGTCCAAGGCAGACAGAAACGGATGGCAATCTATTTTTCTTGCAAGATAAAAAATAAGCCAGAGCAATCCCAAATTGTGCATATCTAAACAGAGATCACCTTTCCTCCAAAGTAGCTCCTTTTATCCTGGCTTTTTTATTTAGTTCAAAGGTACCGACATTCACCAAAGTGTAACACCTCAGGATATCATTAACCCTTCCAGGTCTCTCTTCTTCCACTATCCTCTCCAAATTTGGTCATCAAGTTCTATCTTCTACTTCTTTTTTTAATGACATCTTTGATATTTTTCTCTTTTGTTTCCCATTAGAACTCCCTTGGTACAAACTGCTACCTCTTTAGGCCTAGAAACAGAATAGCTTCCTAATCTGTTTTATTATTCTCCCTGTCAACAATTCCTGCATATTATTAATGACTTATTCTGCTTAAAATGATGGTTTTGTGAAATCATTGCTTTGCTCAATTAATTTTTCCTGTCTCTTTCCCACTACTTCCTAATCTGAAGCATCAACTCCAGCCAAACTGTACATGCTTGGCTCTGAGCAGTCCATGCCTTTCTTTGTTTATGTGGTTTCCCCTTAAAGAATTCTCTCCTTGCTCTCTGCCTATTTAAATTCTATTCACGCTCCAAGTCCCGGCTTAATACTGGGAAGCCTTTACTTTCTTTCTTTTATTATTTATTCTACGCATCTTGTTCCCCATCAAATACGACCCCTTGTTACTGTTCTTGACTTAATGCTTTTGGTAAAGTGTTCTTGGACTTATGTGTAAATATGGGTGAGAGATGGTGAAGATTTCAGATCTTATATTAATGCCCAGTGTTTGACATTGGCTGCCTACACAGCTCTATTGAGAACTCAGGGCTCATTGGGAATGATGATCAGAGTACAAAATCAGTGACAAATGTCTGCCCTGGGCAGAGAGTGGTAAATTGTAGCTGGTGTGCTAATCCATACTTTATCCACGCTACTTAAAGCTTCTGAGATGTTCTTGTTTTAAAAGTGAGGGCTTGGGATCAGATAATCTGTACATTCTTTCCAATTAAGACACTGTTCAGTGGAATAATGGGGTGAAAAGCTGTGCCAGGTTATGAAGGAAGCAGATACACGAAAGGAAGTGAGAACACGAAAATAACTATGAAAACAAAAGAGAAATATAACAGAAAGAGGTGGCATGCTTAGATCAAAAGCTCTTTTAAAAAACTGAAACATAAGTACACAAAAGGGAAAAAGAAAAGTATTTTTCCTTGTTTATTTTATTACAAGTTTTTCCCCCACACTGTGCTTATATTCTTAGACTTTGGCAATTAAATATGACTATATCTAAACCTTAAAATAACTCACTTTCAGGATATGTTTTATGTACAGAGAAAAGTCTCCTTTTGCAATTATTACTAAAGCAAGCGTGAAACAAAAACGCAGAAAAACAAAGAGCCAAGTATAGTTGACTCCTGAGCAGCATGGGTTTGACTAGTGCAGGTCCATTTATACATGGACTGTTTCCAATAAACATATTGGAAACTTTTTTGGAGATTTCCTTACTCCTGTGAAGCAATCGTATTGATTACCTTATGCTGCCATAAGGCGATTACATTGCTTCTTCCCCATTATCAATGCATGAATCATTATACCTGTAAATAAGTATGAATTTCTTTTTCACAATATCTTTTCATTTTTGATGTCTAGTGTTCGTGCTATAACATCTACAGTGTTTTGTATCATGTAAGATAATACTGATGTAGGACCAACAGACAATCTAGCTTATAAACAGATGACATAAAATTACGGTATCAATAAAGACAGCACAGTACTGTAAATGTATTTTTCCTTTCTTATGGTTTTCTTAACAATATTTTCTTTTTACCAGCTTACTTTATTGTAAGAATACAGTATATAATGCCTATAAAATCCAGAAGGTATGTTAATTGACTGTTTATGTTATTGTTAAGGTTTCTAGTCAACAGCAGGCTATTAGTAGTTAAGCTTTTAGGGAGTCAAAAGTTATATGCAGATTTTCAACTGCGCAAGAGGACAGCACCCCTAATCCCTGCTTTGTTCAAGGGTCAACTGTACTTCAAAATGTAGCCACTTCCATCTGCAAATCTTTTCTTCCCAACTATCTTTTCATGTCGGGGGTTGTGGGTAAAGGCAACGGGTGGTAGCTCATTTCTTGATCACCCCGTCTTGGCTCATAATACAGTTCCAGGGCCAATGACAGCTGCAGGCAGGAGTGGCTGGCAGTGAGATGGACAAGACGAGAGGGGAGAAAGCCCCTTTTCTTCCTTTACCCTACTTGCGCCAACTCTGCTATCCTCTGGGTGAAGGAAGAAGAGAAGGAAAAGAAGAGGTTTTTAAATATGAGTATTGCCTGCCTAGTCTATGCTTGAGTCTGTGGTAAACATACTTTCTTTCATTTTAATGACAAGGACAGCTAGCTCTTCTTGTATAGCCTTCCATTTAAGCTGGGACCCCCAGACTCAAGGTCTAGCTGAACCACTTGCTGTTCATTTGTGCATGGATTTTCCAGGCTGGCAAGAATACTTTTCTAGAACTTCCCTGGGACTGAATCTACTACCACAATCCTAAATGACCCTAAAAATATTGTCTTGCCTTTTCATTTTCTATGACCCTCTTTCTACTCATTGACCTTATTTTTAGATCATTTCCACGTAGATAAGAAAGTGGCTACTGACGTGATACATCTGAATTTATTCTATAATAAATAAATAGAATAAACATACTATACAATAAAAGTAATCTTCCCAAGACATCTGCTTTCCCTTCTCTTTAACATTCTATTCAAATCACGAGAAAATACATCATCTACACTAATTTCAAATAGTCCTTTTGTGGTCTTATTTGGAATTTAAACATTTCCTGTTATGGGTGTCAAATAGAAAATCTTGTTCTCTATCCACCTACTCCATCCTTTTGACTATTCTTCCTTTTAACTATGGAACAAAACATGTAGACGACATCTTTTTACTAGTACCTGAATAATGCCAATGGTCTAAACAGATTAGCAGGAAGAAATAGGTTATAGAAACTGGGAGGGGAAAAAGTAGCTTAATGGAACCTGCTGTATCTAAGTGCAAATGTATCTTTCATTCAGATTTATCTGGAAATCTAACTTGTTTTTCCACAAAGTAATCCAAGTGCCCATCTCTGAACGAGAAGTAACAACTGTAAAGGGTCCTAGTGACCTTGTAGTTGCAAAGAGAGAAGCACATAGCAACTCAGCCTCTTTGGGAAAGGGTCACACTCATCAAACAAAAAGTGGTTGATGCCAAGCCTGTATCTGCTCCCAGAGCTCCTTCCTGGAGGAGTCTACGACCACAGTAGAAAGCCCACGTTTAAGAAACCTTTAGAAGGCACAACCCCTGAAGCCACACATGTGCCTGAATAGATACAAAGGGCAGAATTTTAAGAAAAGTGATCACTTTAATTACTGGTAATAGCTCTACGCTTCTTCTCTGGAGAAACGCTAGGTTTACTCTTTCAAAACATTGTGTGTGGTCCTACCCAGTTTTGCTCAGTGGATAGAGCATCAGCCCACGGACTGAAGAGTCTCAGGTTTGATTCCAGTCAAGGGCACATATCTTGGTTGCAGGCTCAATCCTTAGTCCTGGTCAGGGTGTGTGCGAGAAGCAACCAATCGATGTGTCTCTCTTACATCAATGTTTCTGTTTCTCTCTCTCTCTCTCTCTCTCTCTCTATCTCTATCTCTCTTTCTCTCTCTAAAGATCAATGGAAAAATATCCTCAGGTGAGGATTAACAAAAAAAAAAACCACCAACAACAAAACATCACGTGCGAACAAAAAAATTAAGTCATAAATATTTAAATAATGTCACTAGGCCAACCTTAGATTATAAAGGTCCAAGGTTAATCTGGCAGATCTTGACAATCTTGACAACCCCTAATTCCCTAGTGGCCTTCTTCTTCTTCTTCTTCTTTTCTCCTTAGTGGGCTTCTTTAAAACAAAATTTTTAAAGCCTCTGGACAGACCTGTGTGAAGCCAAATAGATTCACAGCCCACCCCTTCACGAATGTTCAGAAAGATGCTAAATCAAAGATGTTTGTTTCTGATCACCAAGTACAATTTCCCTCCTGGGAGTCTATTAGGCTGCTCTGAATTTGTAATTTCCTTGAAGCACTGTCACTTTTAATAGGTATGTGTCTTGCCAGAGTGTGCACCCTTCATTCTGACAGTGACAGAAAACTCACTAATGAAGCAGTCTGACCAGTTTCTTTCTAAAAGTGTGAAGAAAGGGAAAACTGCATTTAAAAGGCTGCATATTATACATAATGTAGTTCACTAAGTAAGAAATGCAAGAATTGTCATTTTTGCTTTGATAGTTCTAAAAACTGCTGCTGCTAAAGGGGCTTTCCACATGTGCTTTACCCTTTGCGCTTCACTCACCTGTCAGGATGAATGGAAGAGAGCACAAAGACAAGGAGGACGACATCCAGGATCCCATCCGGGAACGGGTAGGGCAGGCCATCGTCACAAACATCGTGAACAAAGGCACAGCACTGGGCTGCTCTGTAGGATGGGTGCGACTGTCAGGATAAAGAAACAAAAAGAAGGGGGGAAAGTAGTTAGCAGACTTACAGTATTTTTCTTAAAGTAAAAAGGTCAATGTTTTTACTTCTCCCTAGTGCCTTTCTCTATACATTTGGATGCATCTTATTTCTGATTCAGTATTTTATTTCAAAAGCAGCCATAAGAATTAAGTCTACCACTTGTAGTTGATAACAAATATTCTTTGCCATCCCTCTTTAATTTTAAAAGTGGGGTGGGGCAGTCCTATGAGTCCATAGGCAGTGTTGCTGGAAGACTCCCCAGGGCTATTTCAGAGGCACAGGGCTGCTCCTCAGCTCTCCCCCATTGCTTGTGCAGGACTCCATGAGCTATATTAAAAAGGTTGCATTAGAGCACACACACACACTCTCTCTCTCTCTCTCTCTCTCTCTCTCTCTCTCTCTCTCTCTCTCACACACACACACACACACACACACACACACACACACTCACACAATTCACCTACAGAAACAACAGTACGAGGATACATACAAAAATATTAATAACACTGATTTATCCTAGGGCTCTAGGAAGTGTAATTGTAAGTGCACTTCAGGCTTTTCAATATTTTAGAAAATGTCTACAATGAATAATTATTACTCCTATTATCGGAAATTAGGTTCCGTGTGTTTACTATACATTTTTGTTTGTAGAATTTCCTTTCCTTTTCCATTTCTGAACAGTGCCTCTTCTTGCTAAGGATACGTTCACTAGCATTTGGGGGCTGGTCAAATAAGCCCAGGTTCCCCACTGTTTTCCTTACCTCCTAGGATGTTTTAGATTTGCATTATATGCCTTTTCAGACAAGCCCCTCCCCCCATTTTTTTTAATTTAATGAATGCCTACTATGTGCCAGACTGTGTGTAAGGCTTTATAGACATGAACAAGACCACCTTGTAGGAGCTGTTGGCCTTTCTAGGTGTACCAGTCCCTTCAACTCTACATTAAATTCAAAACAACTTTTATTGTTTTAGGGTCCTAACTTAGGCATCTGTTGATGGTATGAGTCCCAGAAATAGTAAAAGCTCAGTTAAAAATGGCCACAGATGACATCTGATGCAGAAACATTCCCTCCCCTGGCCCAAATCACTTCCACAGCAAATAAGTCAGGTTCTTACTAGTATCTGGCTCTCCTTACAGAAAATCCAAGGCATACCTTTACTAGCTCCACAGCTCCAGAGGCGAAATCACAACAATAAAGAAAGGACTCTGGAGCATTCCTGTGAAAATGAAAGAAGTACTTAAATCCAGAATCCGGATATGCTCTGACTGCAGAAGAAAAAAACTAGGTCTGAACTAATTAATAAGTACTTCCTCAATAGAATTTTGGATGATACTTGGCTTGTCATTTCGTTTTTGTAGATACTGTTCTCAATAGTGGTTTGTGGGTGGTCCTCCTGTTGCCTCTGAACCAACATTGTCTCAAACACTTATTAATGACAGGGTTCATTTCATATTCCTGTCCTGGTTTTAAGGCTATTACTAAGGCCTACCTCCCCTCAAACCACACTCTCACATGGAAAACCTCCGAGGTCATCCATCAGCATTGCTTCAGCCTCCTCCTGCCCCTCACAGGCACTCTTTCTTCTCAGCCTGTGGGAAGCCGCACATTGTCTAGCAGAGAGGTGACCTCTGAGCCCAGGTCTATAGCTACTATTAGCTTAGGCAACTTCTACCCGGACACAGGCCACCATGTCCCTTCAGTGGTGCTTCATTCACCTTCCTGTGTGTACAACTCATTTGGCTCGTGGGCCTCTGATGCTGTGAAGGGGCGGAAACACACACACACACACACACACACACACACACAGCTTGTAAATACAATTTCTAAAGACTAAAACACTACTATATTAATTCTTAGTTATCTTTTCAAGTTATTGTCAAACTTTTATTGAGACTCATTTATGTACCAAGCATTAGAGTACAAAGTAGTAATGAAGTTGTGTAAGAAGAGTATGGATTTTAGAATCAAATAGACCCGTGTTCAAATCCTGGATTTGCCACTTATTAACTTGCGAATTTGATTTAATTTCTTCAAGACTCAGTTGGTTTATTTACAAAATGTAAATAAAGCCAAAACCGGTTTGGCTCAGTGGATAGAGCGTCGGCCTGCGGACTCAAAGGTCCCAGGTTCGATTCCGGTCAAGGGCATGTGCCTGGGTTGCGGGCACATCCCCAGTGGGAGATGTGCAGGAGGCAGCTGATCGATGTTTCTAACTCTCTATCTCTCTCTCTCTTCCTCTCTGTAAAAAATAAATATTTAAAAAATGTAAATAAAGCACATAAATTGAGCTCTTTTTTTCTGGGGTGTGGTGTGGTGGAGAGGTTGACACATGAAAATCTTGACTAATTTTAATTGGCCTCCACTGAACTCAGACAAGTTCTATTTGGCCTTTATCTGAAATTCATTTAACAATGGCTGGACGATGGTTGTTAATGGGCAGCTGTATACTTTGAATTCTGTGGGCCAGTATCCTTCCTTATCATCTCTCATATGCTAGGATCAAATAATCCTTGCATCATGTTACTTAGTCTGTGTTTGAATCACAGAAAGGGATCAGTATGCCATTAAATTTTAATTATCACAATGGTCCTGGCTGTTGTGGATTTTATAGGCTATGTGGGGACATAACTGGTTTTATACAACTACTAAAGGGGTGTTGCCAGGGCAGGCTTCTGGAGGTTTAAGTCTTAGGAGTTTTTGTTGTTGTTGTTGTTAATCCTAACCCTAGGATATTTTTTTCCATTGCTTTTTAGAGAGGGAAGGAGGGAGGGAGGGAGGGAGTGAGGGAGGGACATACACACATCAATGTGAGAGAAACTCATCGATTAGTTGCCTCCCATGCGCACCCTGACTGGGGCTGGGAATTGAACCTGCAACCCTTTGGTGTGCTGGCGACGCTCTAACCACTGATCAATGCCGGCCAGGGCAGTCTTAAACATTTTGAAGGAGAGGACAGCATTGCTAAGTGGGGAGAAGGGGAAACCGGTTTCGGCTCCATTGCTTTTTAAAGAGGGAAGGAGGGAGGGAGGGAGGGAGGGAGTGAGGGAGGGACATACACACATCAATGTGAGAGAAACTCATCGATTAGTTGCCTCCCATGCGCACCCTGACTGGGGCTGGGGATTGAACCTGCAACCCTTTGGTGTGCTGGCGACGCTCTAACCACTGATCAATGCCGGCCAGGGCAGTCTTAAACATTTTGAAGGAGAGGACAGCATTGCTAAGTGGGGAGAAGGGGAAACAGTACAAGGGTTTAGAGGTAGGAGTCACACACCAGGGATAAGAAGCAGAATTGATCCCAACAGCCCAAACTGGTATGAGATAGGATATTCAGGTGGGTCTTGAAGCACATAATTAGAACTTTTTTTTAAAATATATTTTTGTTGATTTCAGAGAGGAGAGGAGAGAAAGAGAGATAGAAACATCAATGATGAGTGAGAATCATTGATTGGCTGCCTCCTGCACGTCCCCCACTGGGGATCGAGCCCACAACCCAGGCATGTGCCCTTGACCGGAATTGAACCTGGGACCCTTCAGTCCGCAGGCCAACAAGAACTTCTAATTTGATTCAGGAAGCATTTCAAGCAAAGAGGACTTTTAAATAAATATGGACTCTAAACACAAATATGCATTTAGCAAAATATCACCCAGGCTCAGATTATATTCTTTTTTTCTCAATATATATATATTTTTAAAATATATTTTATTGATTTTTTTACAGAGAGGAAGGGAGAGGGATAGAGAGTTAGAAGCATCGATGAGAGAGAAACATCGATCAGCTGCCTCCTGCACACCCCCCACTGGGGATGTGCCCGCAACGAAGGTACATGCCCTTGACCAGAATCGAACCTGGGACCCTTCATTCCGCAGGCTCTATCCACTGAGCCAAACCAGTTAGGGCATTTTCTCAATATATTGTTATTGATTTCAGAGAGGAAGGGAGAGGGAGAGAGATAGAAATATCAATGATATTTCTAGTGGGATTGAGCCCAGAACCCGGGCATGTGCCCTGACTAGGAATTAAATTGTGACCTCCTGGTTCATATGTCAACGCTCAACCACTGAGCCCGCCAGCCAGGCTCAAATTATATTCTTAAATGCTACCCATTGATGAACACTGTAGTCACGCATAGTCAGTCATTTGTTTTGTGGCACTAGGGATTGACACTTGGTTTAAGATCTGTCCAAATAAGTTCAAGTTGGATGAATAGAATTTGGTTATGAAAAGTTAACTGGTACTAAATCATCTCTCAGTAACTGTTTTCTCATCTTTAAAACAGAGATAAATACGGCATCTAAAGTGGTTGTAAAGATTGATGGGTTCGTGTAAGTGCAGTTTCTAGAAAGGTGTCTAATTCAGAGTAAGCACCTAATAAATGTTAGTCATTATTAAGTTACTGCTGTTGCTATTATTTATTATCATTACCATATTTTTAAAGGAAGATCTCCCTGTGCCTTCCAGGAACTTAAAAACTTAAGAACTTAACAGGGTTCTGTAAAAATTTCCATTTAACTCAAAATGCTTCTCTGGACACTGGCATGTCTAGCTCATTCTGAAGGGAATGCAGTCTACCTTTGGGCAGTAGTTACTAACCATCCACACGATACAGAATGGTCTAGTTGCTAAAGGAGAGCATGGGCCGCTCGCCACGTGTCCTGCCAGGGTGGCAGCATGACCTCTGAGACTGAATTCCCACTGCATCAGCAGCCAACGTTCAGGTCTTGTGACCACTCACTGACTTTCCAGAGCATTTCTGTGAAATCAGCTGACTGCCCTGGCCCTTCTCCCAGCAAGTAGGTGTAATATCACTGCTACTGCCACTCCACCAAGCACTCTCTTGGCAGGGGCTTAAGAAATAAACGATCCTTGGAGAATGATATGACTTCTCAATTCCAAAGGTCTAATTATAGCAAAATATTCTGAAAATGTAAAACATTAACCCTATACTCTCAAAAAGTAGTAAAACATAATTTCTTAGGTGGGGAAAAAGAAGTCTAATGGAAAGTTAATCACTGGTTGCCTTTTAAAGATGCATTCATTAGCTCAGATTACTGAGCTACAGTGATTTCTAAAATGTGGATACAAGGCAAAATAAAGATACAAGATGAGAAGAGACAAAGAGTGAGGAGGCAAGAGCTTGCAATTATCAGTCGAAGGGAGAAGCGGAAAGGGAAAAATACAACAAACAAGAGGGGAATCCGAGATATTAATGAATCAATATGTACTGAGCTCAACCTATCTATATTGTACTGTTAGGCTATCTGGAAAATCAGATTAAATAAAATATGCTCTTTCCCCCAAGGAATATAAACAGTGGTTGGAGAAAGAAGACATAAAGAAATGACATGCTAAATAATACCTTGAGATGAGTCATAAAGTAACACATAATCGACTGCCAATGCTGTAGATTTATGTGTATTATAAGCTTGGAGATCACTGAAGTGAAGGAACCTGGCTATGTGCTATAAAAGAACAGGAAATTTCAGCCCAGATATTGGAAAAGGGAAAACAAAGGAAATAAGTACAAAGAGAGAAAGGCCATTCAGAACTGCAAATCTGCCAGCATCACTTCTCCTTGGCCACTTTAACTGGTGATTTGATGCTATTAGGGGATTATTATTCATTATGTTAGGTTTATAATAGTACTGGAAAATGCCCTGATTTTCTGGAAATACAATAATAAGACATGTCATATTTAAAGATACAGTGTCATAATATTGGCATTATATTAATAATTGTTGAATCCAGGTGGTGGGTATGTGGGGATTCATTGTGTACTCTTTATTTTTCTGAATGCTTTTACATTTTCATAATGAAAATTTAAAAAAATAGCATCGTTAAATTTAAAAAATATGCATAGAGAAAAGATTGAAAAGAATTACAACAAAAATTCTGTCAGTAGCTATGTTAGGATAATGAGGATGATGGGTAACCCACCCCCACACTCACCCCCAAGCCCCGTTTCCTCTAATGGAAATGTTCTGGAATGTGCTTATGTTGACTTTATAATGGAAAAAGAATGGAAAAGCCATTGTGTAAATGTGAAAAAATTAAAAAAGGAACTTGGCAGACCAGCCACATGTAAAAGGTGGTAAAGAATGTTGGAAGGTGTGTCTTCTTTGTCATGGAAATAGTAAAACATAGAGGTGAGGTGGGGAATAGGGAAGGACCAGCCAGGAAAACATCTCAGTCCTTATCATCCACTTCTTTTAGTCTTAAGGTTAGTTGCTGTTACCTCCAAACAAGTCTAGAGACAATCATTTGACATCCAAAGGTTTTATCCTGGGAGTGGCTCTGGTAGTAATGACAAGATAAAATGAGGATTAAAGCATAAGTTTTAAACTCAAGTCTCTGTGTGTAAAATGACACCTATGTAGCCTCGAGGAGCAATTCACAGCTTAGTGGGAGGATCAACTCTCTTGCTCTTTTCTTACTCACTCATCCACACAAACAAGCTTAAAAAAATACTTCAATGCATGGTGGACAACCCATGGCTGTGAAATACTATTTTCAGAGTAAACTTGAAATTAGGCTCTAAGACCAAGGCACTGCTTTTGAAATTTGCCTTAGTCATTTTCTATATGGGAACAAGAACACTACTGGCATATACGTGATAACATTTCCCCAGAATTTCTCAATACCCCCATACATATATAAAAATTTATAGGAGTGAACTCACTGCAAAGTGTTCAGAATTGGAAAAACACTATTTCCAGCACCACAGCCAACCTAAAATCAAAAGAACAAACAAATATCATGAAAGCAAGGTGGAATTTTTCCCACCAATGTTGGGTTTTTAATTAAAAAACAAAACAAAACAAAACTAGAAGAAATTTACTGGACCTCCAGGAATAAGAGAGTTTTCTAAACTCAAAAGCAATGGAATAAAGCACAAAAATAATACTAAGAAATTTAACTACGGAAACATTTAAAGTTTTTTATACACCAAAACCTAAATAAACTGAGTTAAAAGATGACCAAAACACTGTGGAAAAACAAAACAAAACCCATTTGCAATAAATATGATAAAGGGCAGAGCTCATTCAAAATAAACAAACAAATAAAACCTATAGGTAAATAAGCAAAGAAAATAAAAAGAACACAAAAGAAGTACAAATGGCTTCTAAGCATTTGAAGAACTATATGATCTATTTAATAATCAAAGAAATGCAAATTAAACAAGGTATATTTTTTGTCTTATAAAGCAGAAAGCATGAAAATAAGAAATTCTAATCAATGAGGATGTGATGAAATAGACACACAGTGCCATGAACTGGTATTAGTACAACTTCTTAGGAAGCAATTTGGCAATATATCTTAAGAGTATTAAACATTTTAATAAACTATGAACTAGTAAACCTAATCCAAGATAATAAAAGAAAATAAAGTCTATTTCCAAAGATGTTTGTTGTAGAAACCTGAAAACAATTTAAATACTTAGTAGTGTGAAAAAAGATAAGTAGAATTATAGTGCTCCATATAGTAAAATATTTTGTAGCTATGAAAATGTTTATAGAAAAGTTTTAAAGATAGGGAAAACAGCTTATGATATAATGTTAAATAGAAACAAAGCAAGACCCCAAAATACAGCTATAGTATAGCTCAACTATATAAAACAGTATAAACAAAAGGAGAAAATGTCAGTAAAATGTTAACAGGAGGATTACAATTTTATTTCTCTTATCTACTCTTTTTTTATTTTTTAAAATTTCTTTATTGATTAAGGTATTACATATGTGTCCTTATCCCTCTCTTATCTACTCTTTAGCAAATTCTCTGTAATTAATATATTCTACCTTTATAATCAGAAGGAAAATGTGTATTCTTAAAAGTAGAAAATCAAGGCCCATACACCAGATTAGCAAATTATATTTCACATTTCTGTTTCACCTGAAAATAAATAATAACAATAAGAGATAGAAATTAAGGCCAAAACTTTACTGGTATTTAAAACTGCACTCAAGTTGGAAATTAAAACAGATAAATTTTTAAAAATTTTAAATCACAATCATTTTCCCCTTAAAAAAATCTGGATAGTTAATAAAGTAATATGAAATGTACATTTAAAATTATTGCCACGCCCCATGCTGGCCCTGCAGTGCAGTACCTCTAGGATTCTGAAAGTGGCTTTGCTACCAGGAAAGAGGGCCGCCTTCAGAGGTCCTTTTCTATGCTCTTCAGAGTGGAGGTTGGCAAAATCAGATTCTGCTTTGCTTTGACCATCTGATGAACCAGAACTTTTCTGATAATAATTCTTTTCTTCAGGCACAATAGGACAGTGCTTTCTTGAGAAACAATTTGCAGCATTAGTTTTTACATAATCCCATGATAATTCTTTTGCCTCCTCTTCAGTTTTCTGATCAAGTGGAAGAATTTCAGGAAATTCCCTCAGCAGCCAATTACGGTCCTTGAAAAACTTATTCTTATGAATCTTGTAAAATGTGTCCCAGTATTTATTAGCTTCCCTCTCATACTTAACTAAAATAAAGAAGAAAAAAAATTACTTAACTATGATTTACATTATTAGTTATCTTAATAACTAAATATGTTTAATAGTTAAATCTGTTAAATGTATTATATATCATTTATCATTTATAACAAGTATAATTAGTATTGAATAACTTTAACATTATAATTATTTGATTTTTTTAACTCTTACAGGTTAAAACTACAGAGTATTGGTTCTCTGAAAATGTGTCAATGTGTGGGATATTCAGTTCATCTGCTTCCATCTCAATAGTTTGGCCAGTAAGTTTTTGTGAGGAATATAATCATTGCAAACTGCTTTCTAGAGTGTAATCTTGGAATCTTAATAATCACATTTTTACCAATCTATAATAATAAAAGCATAATATGCAAATCGACCAAACAGCAGAATGACCGTCCGGATGGCCTCCAGACGACCACACTATGACATGCACTGGCGCCAGGCCAGCCAAGGCGGGTGCAATGCAATTGGTCAGGGGGCCCCGCCATCACCCCACGATCACCCCAAAGCAATCAATGGGGGTGCTCTGAGATCTATTACCCCAAAGAGGGAGGCCCAGGCTACCTGGCTGGTGGTGCTGGTGGTGCTGCGGAAGGTGGGTGGGGCCACCTGGCTGGCAGCCACAGAGGGAGGCCCAGGCCCCTCGGCTGGTGGGCGGGGCCTCCCTCTGCAGGGCAATCAATCTGGGGGCCCTGCGATCGATCACCCCACAGAGGGAGGCCCAGGCCACCAGCCAGTGAAGCTGTGGCGGGTGTGTGGGGCTGGCCAGTGATTGCCCCGCAGAGGGAGGCCCACGCCAGCCAAGTGATTGCACCCCATGCCTGTCGCCTGCAGAGGAAGGCGACCAGTGGCGGGGGAAGGGCAGGCAGTGCCGCATAGATGGCAAGCAGTGGCAGTGGCGGGGACCAGGCCAGCTGCTGGCAGCTGGGGGAAGGCAAGCCCCGATAGGCCCTGATCGCCAGCCAGGCCCAGGGACCAGGCCGGGCTGAGGGACACCCCCTCATCCCCGTGCACGAATTTTGTACATCGGGCCTCTAGTCTATATATATAAAAGCCTAAGCAACCATTAGGACCAGACGACTGGATGACCCGCTGGTAGCTATCACGCGCACTGACCACCTGGGGGAAGATGCTCAATGCAGGAGCTGCCCCCTGGTGGTCAGTGAGCTTCCACAGCCAACCTCCCGCAGCCGGCCAACCTCCCACAGTCCCTCCTTCCAGCCGGCCCCTGATCGGCTGGGAGGGACCCCACCCATGCACAAATTTGTGCACTGGGCCTCTACTAACCTATAAGACTCTTTATTATTTTAGAGAAAGAACACCTTATTTTTTATTTGTGTGAAAGCAGTTTCAACATGATATCTATGTAAATTGGTAATCAGATGGTATTATAAATGACATAATCTTAGAGATAGAATGGTCCATTGAAATAATCTACTCTGACCCCCCTGTTTTGCATTGGAAGAAAGACAGCACAGAATAGATGAGCCCAGTTATTCCAGGGCCTAGAGTTCCATCACAGCAGAATAGGGCTGACTCCTGGAGTCTAGGGGCCATCTCATAACTCCATTCTTCCCCCACCTCCAGAGGCATCTCTTCTTACTGACATCTCCTAATATGAAGCCTTAAAGAGAACTTCTGATGCCTTTCTAAAAGAGATATGCATTTTGTGATATCATACCTTACATTTCACTGGATCCCAGGGTCAGGCTTTGGTCAAGAGTCTCAAAATTTTAGGGAATTCTTAGCTTTCTGCCTCTTTCTATCTGTACCTTAAATTGATAAACTAATATACTTCTTCTCTCCCTCCCCCATTCATTCAACAAACTTTTCTTGGATACTATTATGTAACAGGCCTACTCCCTAGGCCTAATCCATGGGTTAAGAATTATTTTCACCCAATGTAGACACATGATATTTTAAAAGTGCTTTCAAAGAATAAAAAACCTATTGATTTGGAATAATTTCCAAGATTCAATGTTGGGTGAAAAAGCAAAGTGTAGAACAATATGTTAGCATGCAACCGTTGGTTAGAAAAAAAAAAGAGAAAAAGAATACATGTGTGTGCATACACAGAAACATACATGCATGTATATATACATATATACTTATATATATGTACAGAATAGTTCTAGAAGGATAATCTTTAATTAGTAATACTGGTTGCCTCAAAAGAGAGGAACTTAGTGGTTTGAGAATTTTCATTTGAATTTTAATCTGTGAAATTACTATATACCAAAAATAAATTAAACTAAGCTAAAAATAAAAATAACAGACTCATTTTTTCCATAGTTTTAAAGAAGCCCCTGCCCTTAGAACAAGCAGTGCCTATAGTGAGGTTTGTCTTTGTTACAGAGCCCTGGCCTGAAGCCCTTATAGTTTTTCTTTTCTTTCCATTTTTATCTTTATGGCCTTGCACCATGGATCTCCACCCATTTGGCCACAGACTTTCTTCCCATCAAGCCTGAACTGTATCTGGCAGCAGGAATGCTATAAAGACAGAAACTCCCATCTGTATTTAAGGCCTGAGAAATGAAAGCAGATCTCTGTAACAAAAGAATTATGTGATGTTGAAGTCCAAGACATGCTCACATCCACACTAATGGAAGGAAGCCTATTTATGATTAATCTAAACATGTTACATTTTATCTTTACAATAGTCCTATCTCTACTTTTAAAAATTGGAGTGTATACAAAGAAAACAAAACAACATTCTGCAAATCAGACTCAGGAGGGATTAGGAAACTGTCTAATTTCCCCAGGGTCTTCTTGCATCTTGCCTTCTTCCTTTTATCTTAAAAATCTTCTTTGTGCCCTGACTGGTTTGGCTCAGTGGATAGAGCGTCAGTCTGCAGACTGAAGGATCCCAGGTTCGATTCTGGTCAAAGGCACCAAAAAAGAAAAAAATCTTCTTTGTAACTCACTCTATGCTGGTAGAAGGTTTTTCTGCTTAATAAAAAGCAACCACCTAACAAGACCTACATTTAGTCAAATCTCTAGTATCTGCGTTTCCAATACCAAGCTACTTGTGAAGTGATTTTGAACCTAACTATCAGTAAATAGAATATAATAGTACACCGCGATTAATTTGCAGACTATTCCCCTAGGAATTAATTGGTGGTAGGGACCTAGACACCTAGGGAGTAACTTGAAAGAAAAGATATTCATAGCAGTGCTATTTGTAAGAGGAAAAACTGGGAAATAACTCAAATACCCAACAAACCATGACCAAGCAATCCATGCAGGTCAAAACAGAGTAACCTTACATAGCAATGAAAATGAAAAGGATAATAATAAGATAAAACATTCACACAGGATCGTCTATACACTGACTGCAACTCAAAAAATTATTTTACATTCATTTATCAAAATCTGGTGAAAATTTGGAGTGATGCTAACAATTTAGTGGTTATTATGTAGTTCTTTCTTTTGCAGTTTTGTCTACATCTTACACAAAGATAAAGAATCTTAGCTGATTCTTCCTTCAAGTTGCCTACACAGTTTCCTCATTTGATGAGAGGTTGAATGTACTCCATGTTCAAGCTCTAAAAAGTCTATGTACTTTCCTATTAAACCCCACGAACTTATGGAGAACATTAGACATGATCGGTTCTACAAACTACAAAATCTTGGATAAGACTGCTGTCATAAAAACGAGCCTGTATTACTATTTTAATTTCTACAATTTACAAAGAAAATGAATCTGCAGTAGATGGCTGGAATCTGATTCATGTACCAAATATATCAAGCATCTAAATTCAGCCCTGGCCTAGGAAATCTTTAGAAAGGATCTGAATACTATTAGAAGATGATGGTCAAGGTCTGTGTATATACTTTCAAGCCTTTTTCAAGTATTTCCTAATTTTCAAAATTATGAGGAAAAGAACCCCAAACAATGACATAAATCATTATACCAATAACAACATCATTAAAAATAACAACAATTACACATACTAAGTATCGATTATGTGCTAGGCACTATGTCAAATACTTTACTTGGCTTTTTCTTCCCATTTAATCTTAATAACAAATAGACGTATTATTCAAATAGACGTATTATTCCAAATTACGAAGAAATTCAAGGTCAGAAGAGATAAAAAAAATTTCCCAAGGTCCGCCAGAGCCTGGACTTGGACCAAGTCCATCAAACTTTAAAGCTCATGCTCTTAACACCATTACACTACACTGCCTTCCTAACAGAAAATCAATAGGAGCCCCTCCAAAATACCTCTGAAAATAATCTGTTTTTCTTTTTTCTTTCCAGGTTTCTGCTGATACTTTATTTTTTTATTTTTGTGTTCAACACTATTTTGTATTAGTTTCAGGTGTACAGCATAGTGGATGGACATTCACGTAGGTTCCAAAGTGTTCCCTCTGATAATTCAAGTGCCCACCTGGCACCACAGATAGTACAATATCGTGTACTCTATTCCCTATGCTTTACCTTACATCCCTGTGACTATTCCGAAGCTATCAATGTGCACTTTTTAATCCCATTATTTTATTTCACCCTGACCCACTGCACCCCACCCCTCTGGCCTCCATCAGTTTGTTTTCTGTATGTGTAAGTCTGTTTCAATTCTGTTTATTTGTTTACTTTGTTCTTTAGATTCCTCATATAAGTGATATCATACGGTATTTGTTTTTGTCTGGTTTATTTCACTTAGCATAATACCCACTGTGTCCATCCATGCTGTTGCAAATTAATCTGTTTTTTCTAATTCTGTACTTTCTTCTCATTATGAAACACCAAGTTAAAATGAAAACCTCAGCATGACTTATAATCAGTATAACTAAGTTGTAAAAATAATGCTGATTGGAGTAAACCTTCATAAAAACAGGTCAGAAATACATAATTAAACTCCATTTAAATTATATAAAATATCAATTATGTATGCAAAATTATATGATGAAATTAGGGTGAGCAATGGCAACATTAAATGCTCTATGAGAATAGATGGGTTTGTGGCATAGAAACAAAACAGAAACA